CAAAAACCTTAACACATCCAGCAAAAGCCCCATTTTCACTCTTATTCAAAGCAATTTATTGGGCCTTGGGACACGTGACGTCATGTAAGAGGTTCTCAAATCCTTGTCCAGAACAGTTGGTCCTGTAGAAAAAAATCCAAATGAGTGGGGGTGTATGGGGCTGCTGTGTGTTTATTTGTTGATCACTGACATCCTTTAACTTCAATTATTGAGAACAGTAAACTTCAATAACGTCAATGATGTCCTTTTGGATGTAGACAGGAACTAAATCCCACGTGTTTAGAAGCTATTTTTGCATTGTAGAGTAGGTACCATCGCTCTCCTCTAAACAAACTCAGACACACACCATCTGCTTCTGTTTTTAGCCCGGCCTGTAAAGCACACAATGTGTTGAGATGAGTTGTAACAGAGCTGTTGACTGCTGGCTGATATAAACACCCTGTGCTGTTGATCCAGAAAAGATCATGGAGAGACGTAGAGTAAATGTCAATGGGACAGTCTTTATTATTTTTAGACTTTATCTTCTTAATCTCTTCTCCTCTTTTGACCAACTTTTTAGATTTTAAAGACAAATAATGGAACAATGTTTGGAAAGACATCTGTGTATGATAGTAGGAGATTTGAGGACAATAAACAAGAGGAATAGGCAGAAAACAAGATTAATTCTCCTATACCGATTGTCATATTGTACCTTTGTGTATTTATTTCCTCATATTTTTCGCTTTTACAACTTAACTCTATTTACTGTTTTGATTTGTACTACAAGATACACCAAAGGAAATTCCTTGTATGTGTAAACTTTCAAATAAACCTGATTCTGAGAGGAGGAGGAGCGAAAAGAAAGAGGAGAAAACTTAAAGAGGGGAGGGGGCAGTGATGTGAAAACATGTTTATGAGTTGAGGGGTGTAACTAAACTCACTACAATATTTGGAATGGAACATGGTCACAAGTATTAAGGGAAACACAACACAGAGAAAGAGAAAATGTGTTGTCTGTTGAGTCTTCACAACCAAAACTATAGCAGGATAACAGACTCAAGCAACATTTTAAACTCTAAGAGAGGGTGCAACTTTGCCATAACAGTGGAGACAGGTTCATTGAGGACACAATCATTCACCCTGAGACTTGTTCTTTTGTAAAGCCAGAGTGGTTTTGGCAGAAAAGGAGGGGACAGTACCGCCAAATCCATCAGCAAGAATGCACAAAAAAAGAGAGAAATGAAAGGAGGGCAAAGTTGATGCATATTTGTCAGCAGGGGGGAACAGGCAGGGATTACTGTGCATCACAAGCACTTTCAGAAAGACAGATCTGCTTACTGTGGAGTTAAAGCAAGACACTTCAGGCAAAACCAGTTTGGGCTGGTTTGCTTCAATCATTTTCAGACTAGTGGAAAGAAAACATCCAAATTACGCATCTTACTGTTTATTTATCTAATGTTGTCTATTTGCTTCTGTAGATCCCAGCGTTAGGTGATGCCTCATTTGCATAGGCTATTTAAACGTACAATTTAAAAAAAAACATGAACACAATATTGCCTTAAGATCCGTAATACCTTGAGAAGTTTCACTGATGTCATTTTGTTTCCCTAGTATGCAACTGTCTCCCTTTAAGTTGATTTGATGGCAAGGGTTATATAAATCAGGAAACAAAGGGATTCATGGTTAATTCTGTCACTTGAATTTGGCCAAATTCTTAAAGCATATTTGTTATTCCAGAGATCACACAACTTGCACAAAACATAGTCATAGACCACTATTTAAATGTATATGCAGGTATAGGCATAAAGATCTAGTAACAAGACAAATACATATTTAGCATTGTTGTGAAGAATTATTAGTAATACACTTTTTTTTTGTTCTAATGTTCCTAAAAGTTGAACTTCCAGAGTTGCAGTTCCCTGCTTTGTTCTGTAACAAATCAGTCGGTAGGGCTGGAGGGACTCACACACACATGAATACACACAGGGCCTCAGTAAAGCCGTGTCTGATCCCTGAGAGGTTATTTTGCAAGACAGCGTGAGCTTGGGAAAAAAAAGAGCAGACCGAAGCCAGTTTAGACCAGTTTGGTTGAGGTCTTGTGCTTTCATGTCATTGTTTCAGCCTCACTGCAACGAGCACTCCTACAGTTGAGGGGAAATCTATAGACCACGACGTAGCACTGATATTAAGTGAATCATCTACAGAGGAAATTGCAAAGGAAACGTCTTTATATTCAATCCCATTGGGACTTTGTCATATTGTGTAATTGTATTGCTCCACTGATATGATTGTGGGTGTACATTCAACACACACTATGCCTTGGTTGTACATTTTAATAACTTTACTTCAGTCTCTCTCCCCTTCTGTTTGTCTTTCTGTCTGCAATAAATCACTCTGTTCTTTTTTGTTCCATATATGTGGCCTAGTTTCTCTCACAGACAAAGGGGGAGACTGTTTAATGTGGCTGTACCGGTGAGAATGGAGAGCTTGGACAGAGCAGACACACTCAGTTCATCACATTAGTATAATCACGACATGTGACATCAAGAATATATTGAAGATCAAATCACATTGTGTAGATTCTACATGTGTTGCAGTATTAGCAACACATCCTGTTGATAAGACGTTAAATCTAAAAGATTACAAAAGAAAATGCTGTCCTACTGCAGGCAAAGCAACCCTTACACATAACATTGTTTCCAAGTTTCATGACATATTAAAGAATATTGGTGTATTTTTACCCTATATATGTTTTAAATCAGCACATTATAATGATCTATTGCCCAGTCTAAATTCATCTTCTTTTCCTTCACACACTATTTCCTCTCTGTCCTTCATATAAAGCTGTCCTGGTCTACTGTTACTGCTTTCTCCCTCCTTTTCACTCGTGTTTCCCCCTCTCCCTCTCCAACAATGGTTGCATGTTACGTAAGAATGTGGCTCTCTGTGAGAAGAATGCTAAATGCTCCAATTCACACGCGTTAATCTCTCTCTCTCCCCATCCCCCATGTGAAGCAGAGTGGCGCAGCGGAAGCGTGCTGGGCCCATAACCCAGAGGTCGATGGATCGAAACCATCCTCTGCTATTTTGAACATGACATGTCAAAATATAAAACACTAAATACCGTATTATCACCAACATATAAGGTCGTCTATCTGTGTGGATTCTGTGGAAGTATAGAAATAGGTCATCAGTAACGGTAGTGGAAGAAGTATACCAGAGCAAAACAGAATAGCATTAAGTGTATCATACATTTAGCAAAATAAGTACACTACATTTTTAAACTAAAATACAATAACTTGACATACGAGTAAAATCAAAGGTAAAATGTATAAGTTTTAAAGTTAATAGAAACACAAATACTTGGATTACCCTTAAACGTGAGATATATTAAGAAAAATAAGTAAACATCTGGGTAGCTTCTGGTTTTTGCCCACCAATCTATAAAGTCTATTATAATTGGTGATTATATTTTGTATTCTAAATCTGCTCACTTACCACCATTGATAAAAACACATTCAACTGTAATCTGAACACAACCTCACTGACTTCCATCTGTCAGTTTCACATCACTTAAGCCAAACCAGACGCACAGGTTATCTCAAATCAAACATTTACCTCATTTGTGTGTGCTGCACATTTTCCCTTCAATTTAACTGGCAATTACCTGAAGAAGAAAGCAGTGTCAGTGACCTTACAGTCTGCTGGACACGATCTCACACTCAGTGAAGCTTGTTAAGACCTTGAGGAAGATTTTTTTTTTTTTTTAATTCTTTATTTATTTGGGGTCACATTATTTTATAATACAAGTACAGTTTTTCAAATCATATATTTTTAGAGACCCAAAAGTGACAAATGAAATAGCAAACAAAATTAGTCAAAATAAAAATAAAAACGAAAAAGTACACAGGGGTTGTTTGAAATAGCAAATGTCGACACATGTACATATGCATTCATATCAACATGCATATATGCATACAATACACACACACATACATGTGTCCATACATACACATCTATATACATTCAATCGGTGTATAGGAACAGTCAAACAAGGGATGGTCGTCTTTGGGATATGTAAATTCTCCACTTTTTCCATATTTCCTCAAATGTGTTTTCCTGTAGCCTCATTAAGAATGTCATTCTTTCCATGATATAGATTTCATGGGAAGATTTTGATGACAGAAAACAAAACAGTTTGACGAGGAACTACTGAATAGTTTGATCATTTCAGTCAGTACATTTAAGTTTGAGTAAGGCCCTCAAACATTTCACTTCAAAGAGAAAAGCTGGGAAATAAAGAACAGCCTGGAAAAGAGATGAGAAGGACTATGTACAATATGAATGCACAGCTGGAACTTCCTCAGCAATACAACAAAGTCTGTTTTTCTCTCTTTGTTGTATTGTCTCTAAGGGAGAGGCCAAGACCTGCTTGGCTTTTCTTATTTTAGTATCTTTGAAACAGAAACACAGAATGTATGAATGCAGATGTCTATTGGTTGTATCAGAAGAGGTATTATCAAATACATTCTCAAGAAATATCATGTTACAGTATTTCTATTTAGTTTAAAGTTGATTTTCTACTTTAGACTTAGATTAGACTTCACTGGGTAAATTATATTAACCTTTAGCGCCCTCTGGAGAATTAAATTGGTCTTTACATCAAGTGAGAAGTTTTTTGCAAATACAATCCTGATGATTGACGTCCTGAAGTTTCCATATTAGCGCATTAAATTACTTTTTAATTAAAAAAAGGTAAAAAGAGCAAAGACATTATCCCATTCTCTCCCTAACAATGCTCATTTAATAGGCATGATCACAAATGAATGAAGGTCATGCAAGTGAATAAAATATATATATTTTTTAAATTATATGTATATTAAAAATATATATATTTTACTTCTGCTATTCATACACATCATATTAACAATACAGAGAAAACACAATTAAGCAATTTGTCGTCCAATTTGACGCTTCTACAACACGCAATCACGTATTTTGCACACGTCACTGACCAGGAAGTGAGCGAAGAGGAGGGACGGGAAAATCACAACAGAGAGCTACTACTGCTTTGACAGCTCTGTGTCTTTTGCGGCTGAAACACTCTTTCTACGGGGAAGGGAGATGTCACGAAAACCTAAAGATGAATACTACCGTTTTTTCACCGTTACCGACCCACGCGCACACGAGAAGGGACACACCGAGTACAAAGTGTCAGCAAGGGTTGGTTTTCACTTTTTATCTCTCCTTAGCTACAGAGACATGTGTACTTGTTACCATACGTAACAACCCTGTGTTAAGCTAATTTACCCGTTATTTGCCTTCATGTTGTATTATTTATCTTACAGCATATTGTTTTGTATGTTGTACCATATTTCTTTGGACGTTCACTAGAAGTTAGTGACTTTGTTTTGTTGTTACACAATGGAGTCACATCTGTACTAGTCATAAAAACAAAGCAGCTAGCTCAGTAGACAGATAAATACACAATGGGCCTTTTATTTCAGGCAGCAGTGCACAGAGAACACTGAGGTGAACTTGTGATTCCCCCCCCCCCCCCCCCCCATGACCACTAATGCCCCATGGTCTTCCCTGGTATGCACACATAATCAAATTGGATCATATCTACAGAGATTCATCCTCCCTTATATTACCACACAACAACTGAATGACTCCATTACTCATTGAGAATGTCAGAACTATTGTCTGGAGATAAATAATCATTTATTGGTTTTCTTTTATTCTTTTTTGTACTCCAAATAAATGACCCTAATCACAATAATAACAAACTATGGCTTTCCGAATATATTTGGCCAATAAACTATGTTATTATGTGCTATTCTGTTAATGAATGTGGGCGTTTTTGCAATTGCAATTTCTTATAGCAGTTCTTTTTGTGTCTTGACTAGAAAAATAATCAGTCCTCTCTCCTCTCTAATTTGTAGTTTGTGTCAAAGCGCCACCCAGAAGATGTGAAGGAGGTGGTCGTGTGGAGGAGGTTCTCAGAGCTGAAGAAGCTCCACGGGGAGCTGGCCTACACTCACAGGAACCTGTTCAGAAAAGAGGAAGAGTTCCCATCGTTTCCCCGCGCACAAGTCTTTGGTATAATGGCTAAACATTTATATAAAATCACTGAATGTGCGACATTGGCCGGATAACACAACAACAATGTTTTTCAAAGAAAGTCATTCAACACAAAAGCATTTTCTAAGGTGTTCAGCTTTCCTGTGCGATAGCTTGTTGATCTGTTGATGATCCACTTGTTCCAGCTAGCCTATTCTCAGCATTTTGTAAGGGCTCTTGTTTCATTTCCCCCCAGCGTACTACATACTTTCACAATTGGAGATGTAGCAACACAGTTGAGACATATATACTGATGGACAGTCACCGTTTATAGTACTTTAAAAAGAATCCTTATTTCTTTTTCAGGAAGGTTTGATGAAGCTGTGATAGAGGAGAGGAGAAAAGCTACAGAGGCCATGCTCCTATTTACTACCAGCATACCTGCACTCTACAACAGCCCACAGCTCAAGGACTTCTTCAGAGTAAGACACACTCACACACACATATAGCAAGTGAAACTGATATTCCCACTGAAAAACCCATGTCAAACCAAGATACATAGATTTTTTAATGTTGATAAATCTGCCAATTATTTTCTAGATTATTAAATGTATTGTTTGGTTTAAAGAATCTTAGAAAATTGGTTAAAAATGAATGTCCACCCCAGTTTTTCCGAGTCCAAAAGTGTCTTTTTTGGCAATATAAAAACTGTATATTCACTTTAATGTGATTTAAACAGAGAACAAGAACATTTCCATATTTAAAAAGCGGACAACAACATTTTCACACATGTTTGCTAGAAAGATTTAATTATAGATAGATCCCCTATTAAAATAGCCAGTGATTTTTCTAGTGATGTAATCGATTTATTTAACAATTCATTACAGCTCTTTTCATTTTGCATTGATAAAACATACCTCTCTACAACCCCTCTCTCTCTCCCCACATCTACCCCATTCTTTCCCTTTCCCCCCCTGCTCTTTCTCAGGGTGGTGAGGTCACGAGGCCTCTGGATGCCCCCCCTCTGTCCACTGCCGGGCCTCTGCCTCCCCCTCTCATCCCCCTCCCCAAGCGGAGGGCCTCAGACTGTGAACCTGCAGAGGAGGAGGAGGGGAGGGAGGCTCCCACCTTACCCCAGGACCTGGGCACCAACCTGAGCTTAGATGTGGGAGAACCAGAGGTGGCCGCTGAGGCTTACAGCGAGATGGGGGGCTCTCCGAGAGAAGAACCAGAACCAGAACAAGAGGAGCTCAGCGACACAGAGCTGGATGACATAAGTATGGCGGGGACAAATGAAAAAAATGCATTTGTTTTGTTATTGCCCTCTCATTTTTTTGTATATGTCTTTATGAAACAAGGACCATGCGTACAGATACACCCTTGTGCCCTCCTCGGGCATTTTTGTACATTTTTCCTGACTTTTCTTTTTGATTTGGAGATCATTTCAGCTGTGTTACAGCTTTTGGCATGGATTTTTGCAAGAAGTCTTCTTTTGAGTCAAATTTTTGAAATCCATTGTCGTTTACTCTTACATGTTTTGTATACTCTCGTGATGCATTTTGCACCCTCTGGACTCCTTCGTGGCAAAAATGTACACGCTCATAATAACTGCTATTAAATCATCATACATCAATATTTTTTAAAACTTTTTTTCCATGAATCACTTAAACAACTTCTAACGTGCTCAAAACTACCAAACATTCAATCATTTTCAGGATTTTAACCCTTTAAATGCCTGTTTCATTATTTGAATTATTTCATTTCTCTTAAAAGAAAACACAAAAAATGACCCTTCATCTGAAAGTGGAGAGGACACTGAGGGTCCGGCCCACCATCCACCACCACGGGGGGCTTTCTTCTCACAATCTGTGAGGACACCCTGGTTTTCCCCAGCTCCTGGGGAACGACCTCCGTTCTTCTCTGTCCCCTCACTGTGGACTGGACCCTCAGTGTCCTCTCCACTTTCAGAGGAAGGGTCAGAGGAACTCCAAGAAATGCTGGACTCCAGAGAGCATTCAGTGTCAGACCCCCCTCGAACCTTGTGTCTTCTTCAGATGATTCCTGCAGCTCGCTGGCAGAAGAAGGCTTCAAGATTACTTCTGAAGTCTCTTCTGCACTGAAATGCTTCTTCATTTGAGTTCCTTCTCTTTGCTACAGGTCTTTCTCCTTCTCTGCTCACTAAAGAAATAAGCCCTTGGTCAAACTGCATGTTTATCTTTGGCAGCCAGCCATAAACACACTAACAGTTGTTTTTTGTTTTTGAGTAATCAAGCAGCTCTTCAAAGACACATCAAACACATCCACAAACATGGCCTTTTTTCCCATGGAATGATCCGTGCATGCTTACAGATTCTCACACACACACACACACACACACACACACACACACACACACACGGAGAGGGAGGAGAGGTGTGTGCTGGTTGTGCACAGGCCTACAAAATTGTTGTTCTATCACCTGAGAGAGCACCAGGTCACATGCTGCAGGACCTGCTGGTCTGCTGCTGGAAATGACACACACACGCACACATATATATACACACACACATACATACACACACACCACTCTCGGGGCCCCCTGGTAGTCACACGGCTCCATAATATAACTGGCAAAAATGTAAGAATTTCATGCATCGGCCTACAGTGGGAACATGGTGTAATCTGTTGGAATAGAGTAGAAATATAAAATATCACTACTTGTCTTCTAAATGAAATGCTGACATTACAAAATGCATGGTTTTATACTGCAGTGGCAGTGGGATAAAAAAATGTGGTCTGAATGGAAGTCAATGAGGCATTTTTGAGAGAAATTAAATAATTCAAATAATGAAACAGGCGTTTAAAGGGTTACATTCCTGACAATGATTGAATGTTTGGTAGTTTTGAGTATGTTAGAAGTTGTTTATGTGATTCATGAAAAAAAAAGTAGAAAAAGATATTGATGTACTGTATGATGATTTAATAGCAGTTATTATGGGCGTGTACATTTTTGCCACGAAGGTGTCCAGAGGTAGTATCTGACACTACGTACAAAATAATAATGCAGTCAAATCAATTTTGTTGCTAATCTTTGACTCATCCAAGACTCTAATAACCACCAAAGTTCCATCCCTCTACTAATTATTATATTGAAAATAATTCATTTTTTGTGTTTTTTGTCATAAATAATGAAATAATTCAAATAATGAAACAGGCATTTAAAGGGTTAAATTCCTGACAATGATTGAATGTTTGGTAGTTTTGAGTACGTTATAAGTTGTTTAAGTGATTCATGAAAAAAAAGTAGAGAAAAATGTTGATGTATGATGATTTAATAGCAGTTATTATGGGCGTGTACATTTTTGCCACGAAAGGTTGAAAATTCGAGGAGGGCACAAGGGTTAACCTCAAATTGATACAATATGGTGTTTTGTAGACATATAAAGAAGTTTCTTTATAACATGACAGGGAGAGATACACTCACTAATGTATAATAAAAAGCAGTAATTACATTTAAGTTCTTAAATTGAATTCACTGTATTTATTTTCCTATCAAATCTTATTGAATAAATGTATTGTATTAAAATGAAGTGTCTGTTTTTCCACAATGTTCAACTAAGAGACAATGAAAAAACAGACACAAAATAACATTGGGGATGTGCAAACAAATGTGTGTCCTTTTCTTTCTTTATTAATCTTGTTTTTACCTTTTGCTCCATGTTTCCATCTCTAGTTCCATTTCCCGACCCATGCCAAGATGAAATCCCCCTATCACCAGAGTCCCAGGAAGAGTTTGACTCCCTGTTTGATTCTGTGGCAGAAGATCTAGCCTCATCCCCAAAAGAGGAAGGGCCTCCTCCTCTGACTGACAATGACTTGGCTGTCTTTGACCCCTGCTATAAACAAGGTGAAATACATGTGAATGGATATGCAATACTCAGCCTTCTAAAATCTGTACAGGCTTTTTAGTCAAGTAACAATTGACCATGTTGACTATTATTTTACAGACCTTCCTGCCTAAATTAGTCTTAATGTGTCATGCACATGTAAAGTTGTGATGCTTTCTGATTTTCTTCAGTTGTACTGATCTGGTTACAATTTCCCAAAATAAAAAAAATTCTATTTCTAAGAGTGGATTTTTTTGCATTTATGTTGAGCTGACCCTTCATCACATCCTGACCCTATGCTGTGCAACACAAGAGACGGTCAGAAAAAACAAGCTATTGCATGACATTTTATCTCAATAGAAATCATTTCTTCAAGCTTGGTTAATGATTCAGCTACACGGTAAATAGCAAGCATTCGGTTACGTACATAACAAATCATTGAAATAGCTCTTAGGTACAAATGTTATTATTACAACCCTCTAATCTTATGTGTGCCTAATCGATATCTGGTTCCCATCCAGAGTAAATGCTTTTTTCACAGGTAGTGTGGCCGAGCAGCGCTGGATTAGGAGTTATAACATTGCTTTCTATGCATCAACATTTCTTTGCCGTGATTGGTCAATTGTTGGACGAATGTTGGAGCAACGAACATAATTGGCCAACCAATGTTGGAGCTCACTTTTTCATTGGCCAATATTCTGCAGCTGGTGTTTTAAGGCTCCAGTCTCATTTGAGGCGTGGGTTCGAATTCCATCGCTGCCAAGGAAGTTTTTCAGCAATCGTATTAATTCTGAGGACCAACATTTTGTACTTGAAATGTAGAACATAAATCTATGGTCTATGACTATGGTCTTTCAAAAAAAGTCATTTCCAAGCTCATTGAGGCTACATTTCAACAAATACATTGGCTGTTTCCTAAACAATGATATAAGATAACTTTCAGAAACTCTTCTCACTGCACATCAAACAGTAGAAAGAGCAGTTCATTTTGGATTTGAGAGTTGACTTCAAAGTCCACGCTTTTTGGGGTATAGTGACGTTTAAGTAGGGCAACAACTAGCAGTTTTTGTCATTATCAATTTATCTTCTGACAATTTTCTTAATCATTTTTCAATACTGTAAAGTCTATATGATAATTCCCCACAGCCTAAGTTGACCACTTCAAAATGCTTATTTTGTCTGACCAACAGCCCAATCACCAAAATATATGAAGACAGCTGTAAAGTGACTTTTTTAGATCATTTTTACTCTAGTTTTGAGAAACAGTTCTATTTGTTATTTTTTGTGTCTATCTCTCCTTTCTAGATAAATCCAATTCCTGCTCTGACTACTCAGACTTATTCTCCCTGCCACCAACCAGTCTGGACGGAGGGGACGTGGGTTACCTAAACCAAGCTGCCACTGAGCTAACAGCTGCGATGGAGCTGGAGAAGGAGGGAGAGTTCAGTTCTGCCATCCGCAGGTACAGGACGGCCGTGGACACACTGATCACTGGAGTAAAAGGTGAGTGTGGGGGATTGAGGAAGATGAGTTGGTGGGGGAGAGAAAAGGAGGGACAGCATAAAGTATTTACTTCAATCAAAGACACACATGCTAACGAAACGCAAACAATGTAGGGTTAATACATATCGATGAATTGAATGATCAGTTATTTTAATGAGCTCATATCATTGACACAAAGTGAAAACATAAATGCATTTGATCATCTTTAAGATGCAATTGTTTGTATTGATTTGAACCAAATTGCATAGTATCATACTTATATATAATAAAAGCACATATGTCCAAATAATCCATATCATATATTATCTTTTATTAGGTCAAGTCACATTTTGGCATGTGTGTTCAATGCACCATTTTTAATATGCCATTTTACCTGAATGCTCACGCCCATTCCTGCATGAAACATGAGCCAGCTTTGTTGCTATAGGAACAGACATGAACTTGCGTGACAAATGTTCTACGTTTAAATAAGTTTGTTCTTATCCACAAATTACATTATGCATTTAACTATATCTTATTTACCATATTTGCTCTGCACTACATAATCCGATATGCTGCTCACACGCACTGACACATGCTCTGCACACAGCTGATACACATGCACTGACACATGCTCTGCACACAGCTGATACACATGCACTGACACATGCTCTGCACACAGCTGATACACATGCACTGACACATGCTCTGCACACAGCTGATACACACCAACATGTGACCTCATCCATTTAGCAAAGGTAAATGCTCTGCCAGAAATCTGTTAATCACTGATGACTTATTGATTTCTTAGGCAAAGCCTTTTTCTTTTGTCCGTCTGCATGAAAGTATGTTTTTATGGGTAGCGTGGCCGAGCGGTCTAAGGCGCTGGATTAAGGCTCCAGTCTCTTCGGAGGCGTGGGTTCAAATCCCACCGCTGCCAGTGTGCTTTTTCAGCAGTAGTGTGATTTCAGAGATGTTGGATCTCAAACTGTAGAAGAGTCATTCATGATGTTGACAAAACAACATTGCTCAAATCATGTCAAAATTCATATCTGTGTTTGAGATTGTGGGAAATGCAGAACAACTTGCTACTGAAATGTATTTAACAATAAAGTCTTGTATGTCTGAAGTGTGAACAACTGTAGGAAGATAAAGAAAACTCCAGACAGAATGAAGTACTACTAACTAAAAATGAAAAGGGATTAAATGATCATGGAGTCAGTAGGTAGAATTGGCTAAGAGGTTATTTATTTATTTTGATAAACGACTGAGAAATATTCACTTTATTATGTTATACTAAATGTAGTCTGGGCCTTGTGAGGTGTTCTCTACAACAAAGCATGTGTGGTATCTGCTAACATGTGACTCCTCCCTGATGGGTTATCTATGGTTACTGTGTGCTTCTCAGTGACTCAGTGATCTATTTCTGGCAGAGAAGTCACTGACCCCCCGCCGCTATTTGTTGAGGGACGATGACATGTGAGCTTTTACATGATAGCGTGGCCGAGCGGTCTAAGGCGCTGGATTAAGGCTCCAGTCTCTTCGGAGGCGTGGGTTCAAATCCCACCGCTGTCAAGAACCTTTTTGAGCTTAAATGTCTTTGATTGATTGGTTTATTATTGCCATTTACAGTTAAATAGATCAATAAAATCAATTTTAATCAAGAGTTTTCACATTTTCTCCCCTCTCTTTTCCTCTTTGTCCCCTTTGCCGTTCTCCATCTGCAACCCCAGGGCGGTAATGCCAATATAATTGAGAATAATCATCTTTGTATTCTTGTGTCTCTCTCTCCAGGAGACCCCGATCCGATCCGCAGAGAGTCCGTGATGAGAAGGACAGCTCAGTACCTGAAGCACACGGAGATGTTGGTGGACAGGCATTCCTCGCCTTCAAACACTCTCACACACACGCAGGACTCTTAGAAGCACACACACCTTTTGATATATTCTGTTCACACACACGAGTATGGAAGAGTAAACCTACCGTAGTAAACATTTCACGAATGAATCAATGGAAGTAAAAGCCTTAATCATCAAATAAATATGAAGGTTATTTGAATGATCATACAATTTATGCACAGAAAAATAAACAAATTAAATATATTAATTTGAAAACATAAGGATAAGTAAAGAGAGGAATAAGTAAAAACTCAAAACAATTTGAACAAACAAGAATAAATTAGCAAATGATTGAAATTGGTAAAAAACAAATACATTATATGTATTTCTTCCATTTCTGTGTACAATTGATTGTATATTCAAATGAATCTACACAATTACCGACTCCTTAAGGCTTTTATTTCTACATTATTTTTCAAATGTAATTATTTATTAGGTAATTTTCTAGTTCTCCATACACACAGACAGATCAAAGACAGAGAAGCTCAGGGTTGTGACATCCTTACGCACACATACATGAAGACACACACTCTTGAGGTACACAGTACACTGCAGACTACTTTAGCTGCCTCTGTGTTGTGCATCATCTGTTAAATGTAAAAGCTACATTTAAAATAACATGAAAATATTACTTTAAAGCATTAATAGATACAATCTGTGATCTCTCTTTCTCTTGTTTGATTCCTTCCTTTCCTTCTCAATGCTTTCTTGTTGAATACGATTATATGTGTATATCAGTCATTTGCATTTTGCACAAACAATGTTTTTGTTAATAAAAATGAGTCAATAAGAAATCAGTTTTTTGGTTGAATGTGCAGGTAACAGTGTTTGGTAAGACTGTAACTGCTGCATGTTCAATTACACAATAAGATGGCAGTGCTGGACATTAACTAAGTACATTTACTTAAGTATTGTACTAGTACTTTGGTTAAGTGTTTTACTTCTATTCTATTTTATACATCTACTTCACTATATTTAGAGTTGCACATTGTACTGTTTTGTCCACTACATTTATGTGCAACTTTTGTGTATCTTAAAGTACATTGAACTAAGTAATCAATCTTTATACTTCTTTAACCACGGGGCCAAATGAGTGTAATATGTCCAGTATATTTGAGTAGGTCTAAACTCATTTATAAATGTCAGAATCACTTACCTAACACCAACAATAAATGCACATGCTTTATTTTGATAACTCATTTAAATAACTGTGCAATTGAACGTAAGATTTCCATTTACAAAGGTCTACAAAAACGATGAACCACTCCATTGTTGTGGTTTCTGTGTTGCCGTAGAAGCCGAACTGACCAGGAAGTACTAAATGAAAAGTATTGCGAGATCTCGCAAAACTTTTTTTTTTTTTTTGTTCAAATTATTTAATTTGTTTTCTCCATGTCCCCTAGGGGGCTCCGTACAATTGCAAGTAGTCACTGGCTGAAAAGTATTGTATAGTCTGTTGTAGATTGTGTCGTTTTTCCAGGTTAGCAATAGCTAAATGGTTCCTCTGAGAGGCGCTGTTTGCTATTACATCATATCAACTACACTCCAGGGCAGAAACTCCTCACTCCCCGAGTTGTCCACCTGTAAATCAGCTAAATGTCACATTTATTTTTCTCAGCTGAGCCATTTTGACAGTAAAAGAGCAATTTAGCTTATCGGTTGCTAACTTAAGCGGTAGAAGTGTAGGACTTACACTGTGGATGAACTTCAGCTAATCATCAGACACAAATCTCAGTTTTTCTTATGTTGCTGAAAGAAGCCTACAGTGCTGTAACGGGGCAGTAGAAGTGGTGATGTGTTAACTCATCATTTAACGCTTTGTTTGAGATGACACCACTTACATCTCATCACAGCTGCTGCTATCTTTATGACTGATGGTATGTTTTTCATTCTTCAACAGTCAGTTTGTATGCTATGTAACATGTTCTTGCTTTACTTCCCCATATTTCCTGTCACTATAGGCAGGGTTCCTCTTTCCATCCCCTGTGCTGCAGTGAGTTAGAGAATACTCACACACATACATTAGAGCGGTAGATTCCATTTCTATATGGATATCATATCTCATATGGTGGAAGAAGATTTATACTAAAGTCAAAGTACCAAATTGTGAAAACACTGTTGCAAGTAAAAGTCTTGCAGTCAAATCTTAAAGTAAAAAGGCTTAACATTTAAAGATACTTACAAAAGTACTTGCTAAGCCTAATGACCAATTTAAAATGATGTATTATAAATGACTGCATTATGATTATTGATGCATTTATGTGTTCATCACACACTTTTACTTTGTTTGATATGTCACAATGTGGTTCATTAGAATGTTGAACTAACTGTGTAAAGTAACACATAACTCAAATTGTACCATCTTGAGAAGATGTATTTCCAGATAATATACCATATTACGATTAGTTCAAATGTGCTGATTTGAGATTATATCTTAAAAATCCGGCCTTTGAGAGGTTTCCTTTTTTGCTATTTCAACAGAATAGAAAAGGGTTTGATGGAGTGGGTTGCAAAAGAGGAAATGAAAAGAGGAAAGAGAACAGTGCCATACAAAATCCCTTTTCTGGAGAGGAGAGAGGGATGGAAGGACAAACAGATGGAGAGGCGGCTAAAAGAGGGGAAGCCGAGTGAGGAAAAGGCTACCCTTTCTCTCACCAGATGAGAAGAATCGGGGGTTTGCGGGGAGCAAGCGATAACGGAGGAGAGGAAAAAAGGAGGGCCG